ACTACATACTGCAATTACTTAAATATGTAAATGTTAATTAAATGCATTTAATGAGTAGAAAATGAACATGCCACATATTGCAGTTTTAATAAGAAAAGAATTCAGGTGTTTACTTGCTGAATTTTGTCATACATAAGAATTTAGCCCTATGTATTTATTTTTATTGCTTGGTATACATCTCTCTTCTTAAAACATATAATACTTTAATTTATCACACACATATAGAATATGAATATAATGAGCTTCAAAAAGGCCTTTTAGTAGATAACATTTTCTCCACAACATAAAGAAACCAAGGGCATATTCTGTTTGGGGTATGTATACATTACTTACTGATACATATCTAAGTGCTCAAATGCAGGTGATGTGACCTCCAGGCATGCTGGAAATGGAAATGCAGCCTCTGAATGATCACCTAAATACCACTGAAGTAATATGAGTTACATGACTGCATTAGAACAGCTGTCTAGGGTAGATTTTCAATCTGCTCTCTGTATGAACTTTTCTTTTGCCAGTCGGGCCCTGCTTTTCAGCAGTTCTACTGTTTTGGCATAGGGCTTCCGCAAAGGTATTCCTGTATTTCTGTGTACTCCACAGAATCCTGTGAACAGGTCGTCTTCCCTGAGAGTGCCCTTTGCAAGGGGAGTCTTGTACCTATATAACCTAGTGCTTCTCTTCGGACTGGTGATGGTGGGTCATCACAGCCTACCAGGCCCACTTTAAACTTTCCAATTATTTTATCAAAGGACCAGAGCTCATTTCACATTCCTTCCAAATATCACGTCCCTTTATCTCTATTCTCTAACTGCAACTCTTTTTTTTTTTTCTTTCTTTCTTTTTCTAAGCCCCATTTTCAGCTGCTCCTTAATTCTGTCTCTTTTTCCATGAGGGGCTTGTAAACCTGGTTTACCACATTTCAGCTTGTGCAACAGGTAGAGCCTCATGGCATGTGTCTGATCCCAGAAAAGGGAGTTGTGAGTACAAAATTCATTAATTTACTTTCTTATCTCAGCACAAATATTTTCTCACATGCATAATGAATTGCAGGCTGCAGTCCTATGTGGAAATACATCTTTATTATTGAAAATATAATTAACTGAGAATAACTGTGCTTTATTCTGCTCCTGAAAGAGAAAAAAAGCAGCAGCCTAATCCAGAATTCAGTTATTCAAGAGATGCAAAGGAATAACAAAGATTTGGAGGAGTTAATTTTGCTTGTATTTACCTACCCCTGTCTTAAGCCTGACCACCTACAGCAGGGAGTTAGTATTTTCAACAGTAAATCCTCTCTGATACACAGTATGTATCATTGCACTTCAGGGGAAGTGAAATCTGATGATATTATTTTCAGAACTGCCACTGTAAACTCATCAATGTGTTGTCCAGTGTCTCAGGACTAGTATAGCAAGAGTTGAGGACAACTTCTTTCCCAGCAAAGAGGTACCATGAAGCCCAAACTAATATTTAAACATCCATAACTTAGAGATCATTTAGATCCAAGCGTATGATCTCGTATATATTAGTACAATCTTGTAACTTCAGTGGGATTCAAATATAGCCTTGGATTATGAATCCCTGCCTGTCATAGATTTCAAGAAGTGAAATTCAGAGCCAGGTCTCTTGTTTGAACTCATTGCTCCTCCTAACTGAATAATATCTTCAGTCTTTAGAGCACACCACCAATACTCTTTCCTCCCTGAACTGGGAACAGAAGCTTACATCTTCTTCCAGATCTGACTTGTATGAATACTGAAAGTGCTGCTTATAAGCAACACCATTTAGAAGGTGTTTAGCAGGTTTTTAGAAGGCATGTTACGTTTCTTTCAGAACTTTCCCAACCGACGTATGTGTATAGGTGATCTGCACATGTGCAGTTGGTTTGCAGATACGTAGTAGATTTATGCTAGGCTGCTCTTCCTCTCTTTCCCGCTTACTGACTGGTTGAAAATAAAAAGTAAAATAACCTGCATTTGATATCAAATTCCTGCTCCTGCTCTCTGAGGGATCCAGTGTTGCCTCTGGAGCCAATTTAGAAACTTTAAGGAGAGAGTAAGCAGCAGCTTTGGGACTAGTATAATCTTCTTGCCTTGGAAATGGACAGGGAGGGAGAGGGTCTTGGCCCTGGGTCTCACTACCATCCCCAGCATACAGGCAAGTGGAATGGACCCAACGCAGGATGGGAAATAAGCTGGGCCAGGAAAAGAGGAGGAGAAACTTGTCTTACCTTGGCAGGCATTTGCAGCAGTGGCAGCAAAGTGTCAGTCTAATCCTAAAGATTAAATCTTGAAGTCCCTCCTTACTTTTTGTTCATGAAAAATATTTGCTAACAGTGAAAATGCCCAAATGACTATTTTTGTGGAATGAGCAAAAATGAGTCCCTGCTACAATTCTGTGCCACTTTACACATCGAGGCTCCAATGAAATCTTTTTTAGATGCTTGAGCAGTTTGGTAACAGCTTATTTTTCATCCCATTGTTGTGTACCTATGAGCTTTTACTGGCATCAGAAATAAAATTGCTGCTGTATCTTTTGCTCATGATATTTCCAGCCACAGCATGAGCAGTGAAAAGTCTCCTGAAATGGGTTCACTGTTCTAGTACAATTTTCATCCAGTTCTGTGGGTTTCAGGGGTTAAAGGGATTCAGATAAGCCTCTGAACTTGTATACAGTTATCTGAATCCTACTTCCAAACTTTTCAAAGTTCATCCATCCTCATAATGGATCCTGTGGGAAGTTAGTGGACTCAGTGGAACATTAGCTGTTTCCCCAATTTCGTAATACTAGGACTGGTAAGTATTGTTAGATATTATAAGACACAATTTGCCAGCCTAAAATGTGTTGTTTATATAAATATGTCTGGAACATGCAATATGTGTGAGAGACTAAATGGAAAACAACCGGGAGCTTTCAAAGACCAGCTTAAATTCAGGGTGAAGGGAGGAGGTGAATTCTGAAGTGCTTTCTTAAATCTGTGTTTCTCTAAATGTCCCAATGGTTTAGAAAAAGAAGCTAGAAGGTTTTTGTGAAAGACAGCCCATATCTTAACTTGCTTTCCTGAAGAACAAAAAGCAAATTTCTCTGTCTCTTGAGAGGGAGCTGATATAAGAGCATTCGTAGGATTAATTTTGAGATGCTGGTGCTGTTTCTCTTTTGCAATCTTTCAGTAGTACGTGCTCCCACTCAGGCAGGTTCATATAGGTATGTCTTTGCTCTTTATAGATGTGCTGAACTTTTTGTTTGTTTGTTTGTGTTTATTTCAGAGGAAGGGGGGCAAAGGCTATTTTAAAAACAGTGACTTTCAAACATTTTGTTCAGTTACAACATTGTTGCTGTTTTTCATCTCCTTTGAAGCGCTGAAGTTTTTTTTGAATTTATTTTTCTAATTCGTTCAAGGTATTTGTTGTAAATATCACCTTATATTATACGCCCCCCTAAAAAAAAGGTGTACTAACCATTTCATCTTACAAAAGAGAGAAAGCTGGAGATTCTGTAAAAGAGAAAGGAAAATACATGAGAGAGGGAAAGGAGGAAAAACGGATGGTTCTCAGCTGTTTGACAAACGTGCGTGACTGAGTTTATATTCCCTTTTGGTCATAGACACTAAAAGCATGTAATATTTATAGATAAGCAAGTATGGACCACTTTTACCTATAAAATATGAGGCTGTCCTTAACCACTGTCACAAGCTTTGAATGTTGTGATAAAAATTTGGGTCTTTTTGGTAGTGCCTGAGACAACCTCTACAGAAGTAAGCACTGACTTTAATAGGAGTTGATGAGACCCATGAGCCTCACCAATTTGCTTCCTCCCAGCGCTTAAACCGACCTGTCTGTCTACATAAAGGACCCCCCAAATTGTCTTTTGTCCTTGAAAAAAACAAATATTATTGTACTCTGATTCTAACTTTAATGATGTTCTTGCACAAGGTGTGTACAGGGAACAAAAATTAGCGCTAATAATATGGCTGGACATGCGAATATTATTTTTGAATTAACAAAACACTAGCATAGAGCCATAAGATAACTGCACATTACAAAAAAAAAGAAAGGAAAAAAAAGTTGTTATTCATTGGTGCTGTGTGGAGCTCAAATTCAATATGGAACAACTGCTTTGTTTAATAATTTTTCAGAGATTTTTTTTTAAATAAGTTCATTTTACCGAAGTACAAATGGCTGAATCAGTGTGGCTTTTATTCCTGCTCTCTGAGAGGAGGGAATACAGAATGGACACTGGCACGTAAATCAAATCAACCAGAATCAGATCAACTGATCAGATCAGCCAGAACAGTAGTATGGCATGAAATGCTAAGCTTAAGTGTTCATACACGTGCAGGCTGTGGTTTCATGTTTCTGTGCTGCCAGTGGCAGATCTGAGGTACAGGCGATTGACCGTCCTGGTCTGCTTGTTCTTATCCCTCATCTGTGTCCAGAGATTGCTCCCCTCATTCATATACTAGTTCAGCTGTTCACAAGATGATGTTCTGAATCACAGCTGTGAAATTACTGCATTTTTTTAAACCTTCAAAAAAATCCCCCACCTTTTTGTTGTTGTTGTTGTTTTTTAATTGGATCATTTCAAAGATCTTGTTTAGGGTGCAGCCACATAAGAATTGAATATGCTGGAAAGGGTCATAATTTACATCAGTGAGAGGTAAGGCCACCTGTAAAATTGGATCTGAGGCTTACAAATAGTAACATGGATGAGCTTCAGCCATGGAGAATAAAGGTAACATGGACTAGCTTAAGTTTTTTTTCTCTTTGCAAATACTGAGCATGTATCACTGAAAATTTTATAATTTTTTTGTTCATCCTGACATATTATCAATGTGCTGGACTGTCCATTCTTCCAAAAAACTTCAGCTACTTGAAAATCACTTGGATATGACATTATTAACAAGGTGTCTTCGAGCATCTCTAGTGCCAAGCAGAGACAGCAGAAGGCAAAGACAGAGACGTTCCTGCAAAGTCTTCAACTAACTATATTATTCCTTTTCTTTTCAGAGGTGCGGAGAAATCTCATTTGATAATCCTGACCAGAATGCCAAATGTGTTCGCATGCTAGGTAAGAGTAAGAACTTTTTGGCCTCGTGATATGAGAGATGTGCGGAAGCATATTTCCTCAGAACTTTCTTCTTAAAAGCAAATAATAATTGTTGTGATGATTCATAATGACATTTATATAGCTCAGCTACATGTTGTTGTCATTATTATGTTCCTAATCATAAATTTTCGGTTACCTGAGTGGTATCATTCCAGTAGTGCCCATCTACACATCCATCTGAATGAACAATATAGTTGTGAACTCTGAGGTATTCAGGTTCACAGGTCATCTTGAAAAGCTGAAAACTCCTGTAGTCAAACCCATTTTTAAAAACTGACTGGGAAAAAAATGTAAATTTTTGTAGGCTACACATCACAAATATATTTCTAGGCCTTCAGCTGCATCAATCAGCAAAACTCCATTCATTGGAATTTCACTGATTTGAACCAGCTGAACACTTTACCCATCATTTGTAAAAAATTTAATATGGGCATAAGTATTTGTCTTTGGGAACAATACAAGATTTTTCTGCTCAATTTTATGGTGTTTGTGTGTTTCATCTGTAGTACTAGTACCAAAATGTTAATAGCATCATTAGTTCTACAGTGAAAAATAGTTGTAGTTACCTAAAAATCTAAAAGATAGTGTTTACTCAGGAAAAAAAAATGAAATAATGGAACATTTGCAGTACTGGACTTTAAATTCTGAAGACCTTTCACCTACCGAGGCTGAAATAAATACATGCTGTAAACTAGAGCATTGCATGTAATAGCACAAGGCTGAAATTGTCAGTTTTTAAAATTGCAACTGGCGATGTCTAGGAACTTAATTCCCATCTGGGTGCATGACTGTGTGCTGTAATAACAGATTATGTGGTTTGTTGTTTATATTCATTAAATCCTATTGTCACAATAGACCATAATTGCTGTAGAGGAAATCTGTCATGCTTTTAGTGCACAGATCCCAGCAGATGAACTGACACAATGGACCATAATAATCTGTTATATCAATGATCCATGGTTAGAGGTTCTAAATGGCACAAGCTGACAGAAAAGATACACTTGTGATCCTTTATGATGCCAGTTATAATCTATTGCTTAAATACCATTGAGTTCATAATACTGTATTTCTAAGGAAGTTATATCCATGCAAATGTTATTATCTGTTATAAAAAGGAGATGGAGCACAAAGCTGAACTAAAGATTAAACTCTTCTTCTGTTTCAGCTGGTTGGTTAGTTCATTTAACATTTTTTATACCAAGTCAGTCCAAACTTGGGGGCTTGACATTGCCCAAAGTGCAAATGAATCCTTCAGAGCACTGAACAGTGAAAGGGCATTATTTCCATTACATATATTCTTATCTATGTCTCCGGATTTGTGCATGTGAGAATAAACAAATGCCGTCCTCTTGTAAGGCAATTGTTCAGAGTGAAAAAATGACCCCGAGGAGTCAAACCAAAGGTGTGGCCGGCTCAAGGACTTTCTCAGGCTATTCATCTAGCAAACATAAAAATAAAGCTTTTCGTTAGTCTAGAAAGCAAATTAAGGACCATAGTGCCCTAGATCATATATTTCACCTCAAGGTATACCAAATGGGGCAGTGAGCTGAGGTTATTCTAAATGTAAGCAGATATTCTACAGCTGGCTCTGTAAACGGTATGGGAAGTTGAAACAAGCACTATATGGCTGTATGGAAGTGTGAGGACAACTCTGGGGACAATCTCCACTGTCTTGATTTATTAGAGAAAATCTGTCAAGGAAATACATGTGGCTATGAGTGTGCTGTAGTGCAGAGGACCTCAATTACGATTCTTTCTGTTTTGATATCAAACTCTGTGAGGAATGGGAGCCAGAAATTGTACAGGCTGAAATGAAAGATCTAAGACTTCATGTTCAGTGCGTCATGCAGTATCCAATATCAGATTTTACAGGGGAATTGAATTTCCAAAGGAATGAAAGGCAAAATTTGTCACTGATCAATGTAAAGCTAACGTAATATCTGTGGATATATCTAGGGAACCAAACCCAACATGCCCTCAGAGAGGGACATCTTTGTTGACTACACCGTCTTTAAAATGTGCTGAAACAGTCATGCTGTCATTTACCATAACAGTGACACACTGCTGAAACAAATCTAAAGGGCAAGTTTCAGCAACTGCAAGAGGGTAATTATTTTGTATGAAAAGAAGCACAAGAGTCTGGTACACTAAATCTATTTCTCCAGGTGTCCTTGAAACAAGAGCAGTCTATAAATGGAACTCTGTATTATTAAGCATTATTCTAAAATGATAGTCATTATTTAAGACAACATAAGAAATAAAAGGCTATATCTGGCTTATACTATTGGTTCTGCTTTTCCCTCAAATTTAAAGATTTTTGGAATGATGTCAGGCTTTCTAGTATGATTTCAAATTCCTTAATGTTACATAGATTATGTGCATAGAGTTGTTTTCCCATAAAGGTTGAGAGATGTTTTCATTGAAAATCGTGTTCTATTCTTCCTATTCTTGTTCTTGTTTTTTGGTAAGAAAACTAATAATTTGATAAAGAAATGTCTAAATGTTTACAATGGCTAGAGTGAAAGTAGTAATTTTTCAATGAACTGATTTGACATTGCTTAACCAAAAGTCAGGAATAAGAAAATCAGTATATTGCCTTTTTTGTTTGTTTGTTTTTTGTTTTGTTTTGTTTTGTTTTTAACATTGGAGTTCTTGGTTTTTATATCCCAAGTGCGAAAAATAACTTGAGCAAATAAATTAACTGTGCTTCCTGAGGATATAGTAGATAACGAGTATGTGCTCTGTCCAGGATATGCTTATTATCATTGTAATGACATGTACTCAACTACTTACAGAAAATGGTGTTCTCTCTCTTATGCTTTATACTTTATTTGTTTCTTTATGTGGTGTTAGATAAAGCTATGTCAATGGTGGTCAATGGACCACCTTAACATTCTGAAGACTCAAGATCAGGTCCCAAATCTGCCAGAGATTTCTTGAGAATAGCATTGGGTAAGGCTTTTCTTCCTGAAAAATAGGAAGAGAAGTGTTTCCACACTTCTTGGCAATGCCGAGGATAAGTTTTGAAGTTGAGGTAGTGTAGCAAAAGGGGTCATAGAAATACCATGCTGTCAGCAAAAGCATGTTGTCAGAAGTTGCCTTTCAGGTTCTGAGTCTCTCAGGAGCAACAGGTAGTTCATTGACATTTCCATGCAGGGAGAAAATCTGCACTGTTCTGCTTAGACTGGAACTAGCTTGTTATCAAGTTATTGCAGATATTCAACCATGACAAATTTGATAGTTATGCTGACCTAGATGTCAAAAACATTTTATGTGCCCTCTGGAAGTGAGAATCCTGAGTTCCTCATGTCCTTTGTTTACACTGGTTTTATTTTAAAAGAGATTGTTGCAAGAGAATTGAAAATACAGCAGGGTATTCCCTATCTGGTTATGAGTTCTTATATTCATAGTATACATGACAGAAGAAACTCTCCTTACAGGACCCATTGCTATTTTAAATAGTACAACCTGTAGTTAATTTTTCCCATATGTAGACAGACATATTCTGAGCTCAGACATGACACAATGTCGTATCATGCAGAGATAATTGGGTTAGTTTGCTGTGAAATTGCTGGTTGGGTGCCTAAGCTAATTAACTCTGCTGGGAAGAATTGCATACAAGCTTGGAAGAGCACAGAGTTAATGCAACTTTACCAGTTCTCACATCTTAACCAGCTCATTCAAAACTCACTCAGTAACCTTTACAAGGCAGAGCACTGAGTTTTATAAATTTATTGTAGAAGGAATAGAAGGAAAACCATATCAGGTTTTAGGACTGGTACAGAGGAAAGTGCTCATGTTGAAATATTTGAGTGATGAAACTTATATTACAATGTCTGTGGTGATCTTAAATTTTACTCTTAGTTCTTTTCTATTGTTGCGGTCAATCCTTTTCTATTGTTCTAATATTGCCCCTCTTCCAGTGTGGTACAGAAGAAGCAGATATCCCAGAAATCATAAAATCATAGAATCATAGAATGCTTAAGGTTGGAAGGGACCTCTAGAGGTCATCTAGTCCAACCCCCTGCACGCACAGGGTCACCTAGAGCACGTGGCACAGGACTGCATCCAAGCGGGTTTTGAAGATCTCCAGAGAAGGAGACTCCACAACCTCTCTGGGCAGCCTGTTCCAGTGCTCTGTCACCCTCACTGTTGAAAAATTTTTCCTTAAGTTCCTGCGGAACTTTTGGTGCTTCAGTTTGTGGCCATTACCTCTAGTTCTGTTGGTGGCCACCAGTGAAGAGAGGCCAGCACCATCCTCCTCACTGCCTCCCTTGAGGTACTTATAGACACTGATTAGATCCCCTCTCAGCCTTCTCTTCTCCAGGCTGAACAGGCCCAGCTCCCTCAGCCTCTCCTCATAGGGCAGATGTTCCAGGCCCCTGATCATCCTTGTAGCCCTGCGCTGGACTCTCTCCAGCAGCTCCACATCCCTCTTGTACTGTGGGGCCCAGAACTGGACACAATACTCCAGATGTGGCCTCACCAGGGCTGAGTAAATGAGCATTGAGAAGATTGTTTGGTGTTAATTTCTTATCTTAAAGGGGAACTAGGCATCTGAAAGCCAACATTATTCTTGAATATACCTGTCCCTCTAACCTGGGGATGAGTATACTGGGGATGGTCAGTTATAATATCTGCCTGTGTAACACAGATTTCTTTGAAATTTCTTTGCTCAAACATTTGTAATGGTACAGAAAAAAAAATATTGGTCACCTGGCTCTCCCAGGGCACTGTGGTCACTTTGGCTTGTCAATTTGTCACTGTTAACATGACAATATATAAGCTATTCTGGCTTAATAATTTTTTTTTTAACACTCATATTGCTATTTTGAATAAAGGTCTGCCAGAAAGAGATTTGTTTTCCACTTTTGAATTGAAATATAGTGTATAAACATATATTGTATAAATAGATATGAGCCTGTAGAGGAGAGCCCAGGGAAAACTTGGTTTTCTGTATA